TATATTCTTTCTAACATGGATTTTGTTTATTCTTTTTTTTTTTATCCTTACTCATTCCATAATATATATTCCTTGTAGCACCTCCTGTCCCTCTCCAGTAAATCCCACATGGACATTTGTGTAAAACCCCACTTCTGTAGTTACTTTTAGACTTTACTGCCTCTCCTCATCACCCTCACATTCACCTTCACCCATCCATCACTCACATCTGTGCATAAACATTGATTGTCTCTGAATTTCAGAAGATAGCTGAGAGCTGCAGGATTGAATTTCTTTGTAAAGCAAAGCTCTCCAGTCTTGTTTGTTTTTTCCTTTCTGAACAATAAGGTAGTGGGGGGTTCTTGCTGAGCCATTTTTGTTTGAAATCTGCCAGGTAGATCCTTTTGCAGTCAGTGTCTGTAAATCTCTCTTTCCCTCTGCTCTTAGCAACTTTGGGGAAGAAAGCCAAGCTTAAGAACTTCTGTCCCTGTCACCCACCAGCCCAGACTGGCACAAAGGAGCGTTGCCATCTGCACCCTGCTSAGTCTGGGGATTTATTTTTACCTCYRACAGSTCYGYRCTYRGCTTCTCCCTCCCCAAAAACAACACYGCTGCCTCCTTCTGGATCCAATCAMTCTTTTCCCACCTAKCAGCAGTGTGAAAAGACCTTTATTATTATTATTTTTTGCGCTTCTGCTTTGTGTTAAGCCGGATATTTCCTCACAAAGCCTCAAAGAGAAGGCAGCTCACGGGAGCTGTTTCAGCTCCAAAGCCACCAGGTGGTTTAGGACTATGACAGAGAACCCCATCACTGCTTTGAACAGACCTATTGAAAACTGCAATGTGGATTTAACACCTCACTAAACTCCAGAGAAAGGCTGTGTTTTGGTATTAAGGTCGAAGGCATCAGGGAATTCTTAAAAAGAATTCGCTTCAAACCTCTSGAGCAACAGTTGTAATCAAACCCTGCTGCAAAGGTATTTTAAGGACTGAGGTTCTGCTCAGCAGGCACTGTCACACATTAAAAATACAGGAACTGGATTGCTGAGCTTGAAATCATATTTTTAAATGCATAAAGACATTAAATAATTCAATGGTTTAAATCAGTTAATCGTGGTTTTTCAYAGTGGGGTAGATTACCTGCTTCCTCCAGTGTTGCTCAGATAAAGGCTCATTTCTAATTTGAAAAACATAATTTATTAATGATAAAATGATACAAAAATATTAAAAGTTTCTACAAAAAAACATTAGAATTTCCTACTAAAATACATAAATCAACTTGCTGCATAGCGTAATGCAGATGGAAAACGGAAGATAATAAAAAAATCATGTCTTCACCATCACAAAAATTGCTTGTCTGTTCCTCGAAAACAGAATCTACAAAGCCAAAAAGTTTAGTGGACAGATCTATGGTGAGTTCCAGTGACCTGACAGCAGCTTTTCAAACAAGTGGACTTCATGTGTGTTATTTTTTCACAAGTTTTTTTCTTTTTTTTTTCCCCTGTTTTTTCCATTTTATAAGAAAGATAAGAAGTGAATAGCTCTTTAATCCAGGGAAGTTTTATGATTCATCCTCCTTGACTGAAATGAAAGCATCTTCCTTTGAATTATGYTTAAGATGGAGTAGTGGAAAAGATGAAAGACTTGCATTTCCCTCCTACCTGATCTTGTCTAAAATTCAGATCAATAAGTGATGCCACAACAAATCAGAAATAAAGATGCTTTGCACTGCCAACAGACTTCTCATCTGGAAGAAAACCCTCAGAAATGCCAGCATTTTCTACTTTTTCCGCCACAACTATATGGAAAGCAAAAACCCCAGAATTGAGTGTTTACAAGCAGCTTAAGCCCCCTTTTCCTGGGRTGTGCATTGTAAATCAAAATGACTTTGCTGTCACCAGTACATGTATTGTATAGAAATCTGAAAAAAATACTGAGCAGTCCAATTGTATTTTGACATTATTTCTGATGTTTAACCATCATGTACCTCACAAATGGCTTGTTTTATTTCTRAAGTCTCAAAATGTAATTCTCTGAGATTTTACAAGAAAATTGTGTTGTCAAATCACTTTAACAAGGCTGATGCTTTTTCTAAATGCTAGAATTTTTTTTCTTTTCTTTAGTGATTATCAGTTCATCCCACTTTATCTACATGACAAATGTTTCTTACCACACAGCATTTCTCTCTAGATTGGCTTTGAAGATATAAAACAAACCAGGAACTTTTATAAAACAAATTAATTTCTTTTCCTCAGTTAGATATTCCCAATTCTGTAATTTTCTTTYCTTAAATGCTTTCCTCATCAAATGTAGATCTTGCAATATAGGCATAAAATTTGGTAAACAAAGAAGTTCTGAAACTCTGTTCAGCAAAGGTGTGTTTTGTTTCATTTTCACCTCTGAAGAAATCATTAACTGTTTCTTTTATTCATAAAAAGAAAATATGGTTAAAAAGTCTGGGAAAAAAAAAAAACCCAGGTGAGCTTCCAGCTGTTTTGRTACCTATTTTAACATCCTTCCCAAAGGGACTGTGCAGCTAAAAGCTCTCAGCTCTGGAGTTATTTAATTGTGCTGAGGAAGAGAATGCAGAATTTAATGAGGGAGCTCTTTTTCCATCCTTATTATCTTTAGGTTCTTTAAGGAAAAAAAAAAGGGTTGATAATTTTTCTAAGTGCTGGGTTTCTTTTTTCCTTAGACAGCTTTTTTMGTTTTTCTTGGATTCTGTTCTTCTGACCCAAAGCTGCCTTGTATTTACACCAAAAAACCCCAAAGTAATGAGCAACACTCGTTTCAGTGATCCTATTGTCCTGCAGGGGTTTCTCTGATTAATGAGCAGTGATTCCTTTCTGAAAATAACAGCAAATGTGAAACCCACTGTCAAAAAAACATGACACAGTAGTAAAAAATACAGAGAAGTTCCTTATTAATGTGATGTGTTTCATCGTGACACCAACAGCTCGCTACAGTGCTCAGCTGTTCCCCACTTTTCTCTGTGTAAAAAGGGAAATTAAAAGGGTCATCCCAAGCCCAGCACTGGCACCATGAGGATTTCCTGATCTAAAATTGCATTATTGATTTTTATGTGTGGAGAAAGAAGAATATTAAATTATTTTCACTTTGCATGGACTTTCTTATCTCACGAGGCTTCCCTGAGGCTTTTTATTTTTTTCTTTTTAAAGTCATGTGTGGATCAAGAAAACAGAACACAAGCAGGAACATATTCTGYAACTCTTACTGGGGATCAAGTCAGAACATATGCAGCAATGTTCTTTAGGTGAAGAAGCCTCAAAACAAACAGTACACCTTCCTATTTCCTGATGGCAAAGTAAGTTACAAAAAGGAAAACTTAAAAATATAYATACAACAAACATGACTTCATCCTYGGCTGCATGTGCTTCAGCATTGTGGATGCTGAAGAATTCCGTAAGGACCTTTTTAGGGTTTTTAATATAAAAGTATTGTTAATTCATTATGCTGAAKAAGAAAACACTGTGTACAATATTGCCTCATTAAACACAATTGACTAATTTCCCCAAATACCCAACCCACTATAAGTAATGAAAACATGCACTAAGCAACAAAAAGCCTCRTGTGAATATGTATATCAGGAAATTCACCTCTTGGGATAAAGCAAGGACAAAGCAATCTCATGTCTTTTTTCATCCTAAGGGTACAATTACCTCATGATCATTTCCCCTGTCTCCATTGTCTTCCCAGAGTAAACAGCCTTTTTTTTATTTGTGTGAGGAAAAAATCTTTGATTTATTTATGAACAGGGAAACTGGGAACTCTTCTAATCTTGGCTGAATTGAGTATTTTGCTTTAATTAATAATAACCAGATAATAACTTTTAATATTTCCCTTGGAGTATTGTCTTAGTAAGTGAATTTTTTTTTTCTAAGGTTGTTCTCTGGCTCTTTGTAGTTGAACAAAGGAAAGTTCATSTCACCTGTGTTCATCTCTGTCTTTTCATGTGAGTCCTCTAGGACCAAACCACAAAATACTTTCAGGAGGGTAAAAWGAGGTTAAAACTTACTATTTTTGGCCTTGCAGGACTTGTTATCAGGCTGAAGCACATAACCCTCCACGCAGCTGCAGGTGTAGGATCCATCTGTGTTCACACACGTCTGGCTACAGCTCCCATACGTGTCACATTCATTCACATCTAAAGGGACATTAACAAGATTTCAGGATTAGGGGGAAAAAAAGAAATTCAATAAAATTCAGAATTCTAAGAGAGATGCTTAAGTCATTAAGTCTTTTTAGAGTGAGGCTTGATGCTTTCCCCTTCTCAGGCCATGAATTTATCATGGATGTTGTCTCTTAAATAACTCAAGTAGCCAAAAAAGAAGGGTAGGAGTTTTCAAGCTCAATAGCTTTTAATTTTGAAAAATAAAACCTTCATTATTTAAAGTAAATGTATGCTAGGGAGACATTTGGGTCCTTGTTAGTACTAGAGACCACGAGTTATCAGGGCTGATGAATGGAGCAGCATTTCAGGAGAGGAAATAATTGATTATCCTTCTCAACCTATTTATGCTGGCAATGTCTTACAGTTCCTAAATGAGCTGTCACCACTTCTCCATTAAACCACCATCCAGCATCAAAAACTACAGACTCTTCTAATAAATATGAAGAACTATTTTCTTGACTAGGGTGTATAAGGATAATGCCATAAAATCAAGATAAGCTGTTTAACAGTGGTTGAGGGTTTAAGCAATAAATTGAAGTTCTAAAGAACCTGCTCTTTAAATTATTTCCTGAGATATATTTTTAATCATGAAACATGACAACCATAGAGAGGAAGAATTTATAATAAATTACATTTATGAAGAATCTGGCTCAGTACTTTTAGTTGGGGAGARAAGTGATWGGTAGTGAGCACATCTATGAAACAATAGAACTCCAATATGATTAAGAGAAAAAATAAACCAAGAAACAAACACATGGATAGACAATGAACAAGTCATATATTTAAAAAAATGGAAGAGAACAGTCTACACTTTAAGTCTATGGTTTCAGTCTACAATTAATTACTCCAAAGTAACGTTCCCAGCTAAGTTGTATGACCTTGRGAGTGTTCATTTATCAAATTCTAATCTAGGTGTGACTTTATGGCCSTGAGGTGAAACACTCCAGGTTTTACAGGCTCTCCTGATGGGGAGGTGCAGAGAAAGAGGCTCATGCTACCATAACTCCTCCATAACTCCTCCAGTTATGATCCTTCAAGAATTTCAGAGAGCTCCTGCTGGGGCACAGGAGCATCAAAGACTCAGGAGGGAGGTCCTGATTCTCATTTTAGGGGCTCTGTTCCCCATTCCCTGCCCCAAAAGCCCATGCTTGTCCCTGACCAAAAATATCTATATATAAAACTATCACTATATTTATAACTAAACTAATTATTACTATTATTACTATCATTATTATTACTTATTTCACTTTATTATACATATTATTAAAAACTGTTATTCCCTTTTACTCATATTCTTACCTAAAAAGCCCATAATCTTCAAAACTATAGTAATTTAAAAAAAAAACAAAAAACAAAACCGTATCCAACACTCCAAGAAGAATCCCTACCTTCATTAACAAACACGTCTTTCAAATGTGTCTTTCAAGATACATTTTAGCACCCAACAGTAAAACTCAAAAGCACAAAGAAAAATGAAAGTACAAAAGGAATAACAGTTTTTAAGCAACCTATTTTTATATTCTAAATATAAAAGCCTCACTAAACAACACCATATAATCTAACTTATCTTAATTCAAATAACAGATACTCATAGCTATATTTTTCTCATTTTGACACCTTTGAAGAAGGCTGARGAGGTGACAGTGCTGTCCTGGCTGTCCCTATGGCCCTGACAGGACACGGGGTGTTAATGTCACTSTGAATTTCTGTTTTACCTGTGCAGCTCCTCCCGTCGCTGCCCGTTTCATACCCGTCCCTGCAGTAACACCGGGTGCTGTTCCTGGTGATGGCACATTTGTACTGGCAATTCATCTGCTGGCACTTGGGGAGCAATTCTGTAAACGACAGCAGAGCAAAATGGTACTAAATATTTGTATTATTGCTAAAATTGCAAACTTTACAGACTTTCATATATATATTTAAGTGAATGTGTCAGGAAGGAAATACCACCACTATTTACATCAGCTGGAAGTATATCACACCCGCCCTGTAAAAAGMTTGTTATGAAAATTGCCTTTCAGCCAGTTAAAAATTAGAAATCGACATTTCATTTCTATCAAGAATTGCTCACAAGTTTATTATTGACAGGTACTGTAGCTCTGCTGAAACATCCATTTTTTGCACATTAGTCATAACAATGATTTGAAAAACAAAATGAAACAAAACAAAACCAAACCTGAAGTGGTTAGATTATAGTTATAAAAACAACCAAGATTATGAGAAATGTTTCAACATCTATGTCTTTATTATTCCTCAAACCAATTGATTTTCTAACTTTTTWAAGCTTGTTTTGATTTATTGATATACACACAACCCTCATACCAAACAATGGGAATATATACTGCCTCAATAATTTCATGTTGGATGTGTAATGCTGGATAAATAGTGGGCATTATAAATATGTCATTACTGCTGACATCCTTCACAGAATCTGCTGCTTAAATCACACCATCAGCACAAGGCATGATGCTAACAAACTGAAGAAATATTGTAGAAATACAGACTGCAATGTTTTCCAGCAGGAAACCACACAAACCAAACAAAAACCCCTCCAACACTTCCCAGCCTCAAGTTGTGTGCCGTGTTTCAATAATTATGCTGATCAAAAAAACCCAGTATTTTAATGAACAACTTTTTTTTTTTTTTTTTTCCTTCAGAAAAATGGAAAAAAGGATTGAGAAATGCAGCTTAAGGAGTTGCTCTGAGGGTATTTTTCAAACCTATGCAGATGGATCTGCCAATGGACAGAGAAATTTCTGCTACAGGGCTGGCTTTAAGAAACCGGGTATGACCTGAGGAAAAAGAGAAATCTGTATTTTAATATGTGAACAGTTTTAATCCATTTGATCATTATTCATCGAGTTCTACTTCGGAGTAGAATGAACATGAATATGAAGAAGAGTCTCTATCAGCATCTGAGCCCTGGAGCTTCCATTCTGGAATGACTTCCACTGTCAAAATAAAGCTGAAATTTTTTGGGAAAAGTGGATGTGGCTGGCACACAGAGTTAGTACTTMTTCTAACGCAACTATTCCAGAAAGAAAGAGGTTTCACACAATTATCTCAGGGCATTCCCTAGAATTTTGTGTGCCACACAATCTACAGACTGCCTAGAGGCTGATAAACCACATACTGTCTAAATCTGCCCATTTTCCCCATAATTTCTGCTGTTTCTCTGCCTTTTGGGCCCCTGTGCATAGCAAGATAATATATTTTTTGGCTGTAGCTGGCTTTGTTGGTTTCTCGTCCCTAGCCCAGTCCTTAAATCTGCTACACCTTTCCAAGAACAAATCCCACACCAAAGGCAAACCGGGGAATTTCCCTAAAGGCACCCTGAAATGGTGCTGGCACCAGAAAAGGTGCTGTTTATTTAATACAACTATCTGAACAAAATCAACACATACATTTCATTTTCTAAGCAAACATGGATCAACTGTCCTTTACCACCTATAATTTTCCTTCTCAAATATTTGCCTGACGCTATTCCTACTGGATGAGAACAGTTTCACTCACAAACAGGACTTGGTTTGTTTGYACTCTTTCCATAGAGGATGCAGACAAATTGAACCACAACAGTGGGACCTGCACGAAACCAGGAAAGCTGGAGAACAGCGACACAAATGGGCAAGTGGAAAAATTATGGAAAAATTAACAAAAAAGACCAGTCTATCTGTTCTTTTTTTTTCCCCCCCACAAAGAATTGTTGCATGTCATTGATTTTAAGTTGTTGCAGCATCATCTGAGTGTCTTTTAGCAGCAAAATGGTTGCATTTTTCTTCCACAAAGTATTAAAAGATACTTTGATAAGGGGGAATGGTTTTAAATTGATAGAGGATAGATTTAGATTTGGTATTAGGATGAAATTCTTCWCTGTGAGGGTGRKGAGGMCCTGGCACAGGGTGCCCAGAGAAGCTGTGGCTGCCCCTGGATCCCTGGAAGTGTCCAARGCCAGGWTGGATRGGGCTTGGAGMAACCTGGSATAGTGAAAGGTGTCCCTGCCYRTGGCAGGGGGTTGGAAYGGGGTGATCTCTAAAATTCCTYMMAATCCAAACCRTTCTGGGATTCTCTGATAGCTGAAGTGCTGTGGATAGAACAGRGATTCTCTAAGGAAACCTTCTACTCATACTTCCTTCTCCTGCACATGTCCTTACATTGACTTTTTTCCAAATATTGTCTGATCCTGTTGATCAATGAAGGAAATCATTACAAATTTGTTTCCTAAAAAAACATATTTAACCGCTCACTGTCAAGACCAGGGAAAACCAAAACACCTTCCCTCATTTTAGCCATCCAGGAAAAGAAGGAAGCAATCATCTGCCTCAAGTTTCACACTCAAACTGCTTCTCACTGGAGGGCAACAGCAGCCAGCCACAAATTGCTCAAATCCACCAGACTTCCCCATAAAACCATTAAAGAACCACTGCTGGCTGCCATCTGTTTCTGACTTCACACTAACATTTTCCCCTCCTCCCCCAAATTATTCATCAGATCATTTCAAATGTRTTTTGTTTTCTGATTGTGACAGACACTTTCTGGCCCCAGAACATTTTTTGCTCTGTTACTGATCTGCTAACCCTGCCAGGGGAACCCATAAGTGAAAAAGGAATAAATACAATAAAAACATAAGAGAGTGAGAATATCTAGAATATAACAAAATAGAATAAAAAAAAAGAATAGATTAGGAAAGAATATTTCATTTGGAAGGGACCTACAATGACCATCTTAGTCCCGCTGCCTGAGCCCTTCAGGACTGACCAAAAGTTAGGGCATGTTATTAAGACCACTGCCTGATGCTTTTTATAAATAAAACATCAAACAGTAAAATACAAAATATATTTCCTATTTTACTAGTTATTTTGTAAGAGCWGCTATACTGATCCTGAAAACCTTTGGAAGAAAACAGAGTTTGACTGCCTCTGGCAATGTTTGAAATATTGAAGGACAAGCTATGGAAGACAGTGTGTACATTTATGGCTTGGTTAGAGTTGTAACAGGCTTCTTGGGAAGTGAGGAGGCAAAGAAAATCATGAAGCAGAACACTGATATTTTTAATGCTCCAGATAGGACATTTAAAGAGATAAAAGCCAGGGACTGTCATTTCTTGTCTTTTCTAAAATTCTGCACCTACTTTGATCTCCCTTTCTCAGYGAGAACTGGTTTACAAAGTACACAGGCAGTGAAGAATGAGCATCACTGAGCTTYCCACTTTTATCACAGCTACAGAAACCTCTGAATTTGTCAAAGCACGGTCTGTCTGCTGCAAGATTTAAAGGAAGGAGCTGCACTGAAGGGAACAACAGGAGAGAGCTTTATAGCTCCCTGGCAGACCCACAGTTCAAGCCAAGGAGCTGCAGAGCAAGCGAGGATTTGCAGAAATACAGGGTAGCAGAAGCAGCTGTGAGTGCCTTTAGGATGATCTATTTTCCCCAAGCCCAGGGAGAAGKGACAATTCATCCAGCTCTGATTCAGGTCATTTTGTTCAATGTTTTCTTTCTTCCACAGGAGACRTGAAGGGCAGCATTTTTTACCTCCCCACATCTCCAGGAAGGATCCTCTCTGAAGCTGAAATCCGGATTTGCCACAAAAGCCACCCTTGGCTTTCTCAGACACCCATGTCAGCCTGATGCTTCCTGATTTTGATGTTGCTCTCCCTGCCAGGCATCTGGTCCCACAGGAGAGCAGTCAATCAGGCAAAGATGCTGCTGATCTCATCTCCCCTAAAGTGTTACACCTTTGACAATGACTCAGAGGAGCTGTAAGCTTCCCGGACAAACTGCTCCCGCAGGAATTCGCCGTAATAAAATCCTGCCTTCATTTATTCCTTCTGTGCTCAATGAAATACACTGCTTATCACAGTTCATTCAAGATGAATGATCCAAGGAACTAACTTCTCTTGAATGGCTTTCTAATGGAAGGTTTAAGCAATCGCTCTGACTATCCTTTTTGTCACTTCCTCCTGAGCCAAAACAAGGTTCACAAAGGGTTCACACMAGGTTCTCATGCTCAGATGTTTTGGCTGTTTCTGTGAACAAGAAAAGCAGTTCAGCTTGCAGTGTCTTAATACTGAAATTATTCCTTTGGGGGCTGTTTGGGATTGTCAAAAAAGTAGACTGGATTTACCAATGGATCTGTTAGCTTTGTCTTACCTGAGAGGAAAAACAACCAAGGCCAGGTTGGAACCTCACCCAGTGGAAGGGGTCCCAGCCTTGGTAGGGTGGTGTGGGCTGGAATGAGATGATCCTTAAGGTCCCTTCCAACCCAAACCTTTCTGGGATTCTGGGATTCAGATTTCTATGAAAACAGATTTGACACACACAGTAAAATGTATTTAGCTGCCATTGTTTCTGATCCACTCGCAGGATAATAAAACCCTTGGGCTGCAGTGGGGTCCCAGTTGTGTTTCATAAGTRCATCTGTAATATATAAATCCTGTCCTGCTCCTTTTGTAAAGACAATCTATGCTGGAGAGTACTGACAGCCTTTCAGAACTCTGTGAATCAAAATTTACTGATTATGGAATGTTGATAATCATCAATAACACAAACCTGCTGCAAATAAAAGAAACTGGCTGAAGTTTACTGAAGTGCTGGAAGTACAAGACAATACACCATGGGRATAACAGCAGTGCTGCTGTTGTCAGTTCAGGAGTTCCCAATTTGAAACAACAAAGGATCCTTGTCACACAGCTCATCAGAGAGTGACCATGAACTACCAGGTTTTTCCCTTCCAGGGAAAAGGGGAAACGCATCAGTGAGAGCTTTGGGATAAGCATTTCCCAGACACAAAGTGTTGATGCCAACCCCCAGGATGCTCCTGAGTGCCTTCCTTCACTGCC